CTAGCCATGGCCTCCACCAACCTACTAGCAGTGGCCTCCAACCTAATAGCGATGGCCTCCAACCGACCTTCTAGCGATGGCCTCCAACCTTCTAGCAATGGCCTCCAACCTAATAGCAAAAGGAACCTAGTAGCGATAACCTCCAACCTAATAGAATGTGGGGATCTGCATACAGTGAAGGAGACTTTCTCATGCTGCCCGAAACAGTGGAATTTCATGGACTTCTGTGTGCATGTCAATGCATGTCAAATGAAGAGCTGACAAAAGAAAGGTTTCGCGGTTGGGACTTCAGGCTTGTGAACCCGTCACCTCAGCACGCAAACGGGCACACTTCCCGCAGAAGAGGGCATTTTCAGTCTCATACCTTGGCCGTTGGAGTGCGTTTCAATGCCTGGAAACTGGATGAAACTTGGCTCATCTTTGACATAACATATGGTCATCTTTCCTTCGAAACTTCTCACGCAGATTTTTCAAGCGTGTCTGGAGGGCGAATGACTTTACATGGTCGTATAGCGGTGTATCTCTGGCTATCCTTCATTGGGATCTGCTTCATGTCGCAGAAGTAAGAAAATCACTTCCACGTCGTTCTCCTTGATGGTCGCTGATGTAATGGTCGCTGAAACGAACGGATGAGACCGAAACACTTCGTCTGTTTTGAGCCTTCCGTTGCATTTACATCACTGGACTCAAATCCATGCTCCTCGAGGAACTTTGCGAGAAGTTGTCTTTCCTTCTCTCTCCTTTGGGCTTTTGGAGCTCCTTGGCCTTCTTCATCTCGAACGAATCTGTTGCGGCTTCATCCTCTTGTAAGTCTCTGCCATGATGATGTCTCTGCCTCGAGCCTGTAGTGATCCCCGTACATGGCCAGCTTGGATTGCTGCTTCCGAATGTTTACTCCACTGTGGAGCCAAAAACGCACCGGAGCCCGGTTCGACACTTCACAATGCTAAACATCCAACAAAGAAGTGTCGACATCTCGGCATCCAGCTAAATAGAAATATATACATGTCCTCAAAAGAGAGTCCATACATGTCCATACTCTGTCTATCTCTGTCTGGTGTGAGTCTCAACCTCTTTATCTCTTTCGAACCAAGAAAAAACATCTGCGGAGGCATACCTGGTCATACCTGGTCTCCCAAACAAACAAGAAGCACACAATCAATCCAAACATCCAAACTGTGGATGCTCCCTGACAGTTCTACTTGCCAAGTCAAGCTCATCATACCTCACATTCCATGCCTACAGCTTTAAACTCCAATCATGTGCATTGAAACTGAACCTCCTACTTATCCAATGTGTCAGGAGGCTGGAAATTTACCCCTCACATGGCTCGCTCAGCTCGGTGTCCACTGTGATGACTGTGGAGCAAAACAAAATCACAGTCCTTTCATCTAGATTTCAAAAAGGACTCAGAAACCTTTTCATTCACGGGACACATGAGAAAAACCATAGAAAAACACATCTCCCCAGACCCACTGAGAAATGTCTCTATCGTTCGAGAGGCGCAGCCCCGCAATTTGCACAGCAGGGAAGATTCGCCTCGGGGCTGACAAAACGGCAGAGTTCTGCGGCGAAAGGAACAGCCCTAAAGTTGGCGAGAGTCCATTTTGGGGCATCTACACCTGACCTGATGCTAACCTAGCAATGGCCTCCAACTTACTAGTCTGAGAGAGTTCATTTTTCATTGTGGCAATCAGTTTTCGTGGCCTTTGCCGTGAAATTGTGCTCTAACTGTCATTTTTGACCACAGTCTTGCGACTCTGGAATTGGCACGCGCAGCACTTTGTGAACTAACTGCGGATACTCGTGCTCTCATCCATACACTCACATATGTGCATGTGCTCTCATGCTGCTTCCATACATGTGCTCTCATTTGTGTGCTCTCGGTGTTCCAAAGTGCGGTCGGCTTATTCACCGTCCTGTTCTTCGTCACTCTCCGCACCTTCAATTCACTGATTCAAAGAATGAGCTCAGAGGAGCCAGTCTCTCCCTTGCCATATTTCGTACCAATGGCCTCCAGCCTAATAGCCATAGCCTCCAACCTAAGAGCAATGGCCTCCAACCTAATAGCGATACCATAGCAGCAATATCCTTTAATATCAACACCAATGCTGCCAATGCTTCTCAAAACTGCCGTAAAACACCCCTTTGTTACGCAAGTCAGTGGATGGCCAATTTTGGTGTTGCTTCATGGTTAGACACTTTGTTCGAGAACAACGGAGAAGAGTTCAACACAATCCGCAAATGTCCAAGAGGCCATTGCCATTAGGTTGGAGGCCATTGCTAGTAGGTTCCTTAAAGTTTGTCCAAGAGTCCCCATGTTCCACTCCCACTCGCTACTCCCACGTCACATCGAGACATCTTTGTGGGACATCTTGGGACGTTCGCATGACATCGAGACGGTTCGTCCCGCTGCCAAACTTGAGCGCCTGCATCTGTGAGCCACCGACAGAGCCTGGTGCATCGATCCATCAAAAAATGCGGCATGTCATCTCTGTCGGTGAAAAGATCATCTCTGTCGTCTGATCCATCCGATCTATCCTGTCAATGCCTGTTTTTGAACATCACTAGGTCACGAGTGTCTTTTCACAAGAACCCACATCGAATGGCACCTGGATTTTGGATGGTCGGTGCAACGCATGCAGAGACGCCTCAAGCAAGTGCATTTCATCGCAAGTCTTCTACCTAAGGACCTAAGTTGGAACACTCTCGGTGCAAGCCGACCATCAGCTGTCTGTGCCCACCGGACGAAACACTTTGGTGGCTCATCCCAATCAAATAAAAGTCTGCTCAGATCAATGCAATCGAAAAAGACAGACAAAAAAACACATAATAACACTGGAACCTACACTATATAACAGTGTGTGCAGTAGATAATATATATATATACAATAGTTATTTACATGATACAATACAATAAAGTATATATGCTAAAGTGTATATATGCATATATCCATACAAATGTTCCACATGTGGTCCGTTGGTCCGGTGCCTGGTCTTTCCGGTGACCGTGGAACGCTTAAATTGGGCATGTTGAGGATTTGTTGCATCTTCGTCACCTCAGAGTGGGTCGCACACGGAGTGTCTGTCGGGAAGTGGCGTTTGCGTTAAGATTTCACCAACTTTGGGAAACATTCGAACAAAAAGGAGGAAGAATGACCATCAAAGGGCAAACTTTGAGAACTCCAAACCACTGCGTGCCTCTTGAGCAAGGCTGGCTAGCTTTTCAGCCGTCTGTTCCTTCAATGGTTGAGGCAGTTCAAAACTCTGGTGAGAAAATAGAACAGGCTTTCACCTCAAGCCTTCAAGCTCTTCGAAGCATTCTGCAGCATCCATGAAGTCAGTGTTTTTCAAGCTCGTGCTCTGGCGGCTCTCGCCCCAGCGCTGGAGCTGTCCTTCAGCTCTTGAGGCAACTGACGCAGGCTGTAGAGCCTCAAGAAGCTCCAAGTTCGCAGTTCTTCGGTTCTTCAAAACATTTTTGTTAGAAGACTAAGACTAAAATGATCAATGTTCAACATAAAAATGGCCAAGTTCGGAATCTCCAAGGACCATCCGGTCGTTCTAAATGTTCCGCAGCTAGAGACTCAAACTTCCCCAAACCGGGCAGCAAGGACTCCATCAGAAAACTGGGTGAACATGAACCCAGTGCGAGACATGACCCTCAGGTGGAGAAGCACGAACTTTGCAACGCCTGATGTAGGGTCGCGGTTGCCGAAGGGAGCGCAAGAAGTCGGCCGCCGAAACCAGAATCCCGTCCTGGCAACGTCGTTTGAATGCGTTGTTGGCAAGAGAGGCAACCTACAGTCAAGCCACAGCTGGTGGTGTACAACATGCTTAGACTTACCCCACATTCACCCCTTGGACTCACGACCCCGCAACAGCTGAACAAGTGCGTCCAGGTCCAGCTTTGGCCAACCCCAGCATTCTTGGACCTGCTAGCAATGGCCTCCAACCTACAAGCAATGGCCTCCAACCTAATAGCGATGGCCTCCAACCTAATTAATAGCAATGG